ATTCAACCGATTTTCTGGCCGACCAACTCGCCTGATCTTAACCCGATTGAATCTGTTTGGAATAAGATGAAGGATTACATCCAGCGTCATCATCCGAATCTGGGTTGCGGAAAGCAGCGAACTCAAGATAGTCTTCGCAACTAGTAAAGGAGGCATGGGATTCCGTGTCTTCCGAAGATCTTGTGAGACTCATTCAGAGTATGCCAGCAAGATGTCAGGCTGTGGTAGATGCGGATGGGGGACCGACCGATATTAAGGCCTGAAAATATTCCAGCCACATGTTCAGATCTAAGGTTAGGATAAGACTGGCTCTATTTTGTAATTTGAAAACCTGTGAACTCTTGTAAATAAGTTATAAAGTCAAGTAGCAAAAATGCACATATGTTATGCAGCCGATCATTATACAAATTAGGTTTAGTACGAAGGAAAGACCCTCTGCAAACTACGGTGTTCAGATAAAAACTGCCAAACAAATTTTTCAAAAATTTGCACAAATACGGGGCTTAACCCCAATATGGAAGTGACTATGCCTAAGGCGTCTTAGTTTACACGCTAAATTCCCTGTCAAAGCCCCGCTGCAAACTTGACACCGTGACGCCACGGTAGAGGCTGCAGCCTTATATGTGGATCCGGAACTTTCCGGCTCCGGCCATGAACAAAAGCGCGCTAGTGTCACTGAAAAGGGCGCTCAATGGGAACATAACATCTCATGCATGCGTCAGAATAGTTTTCAGTCTTGGGTAAAAAGAATTTCATATTTGGACCCATAGTTGTGAACAACAAATGTAAAGTCCCTTCACAGTAGGGACTTGATAGGGCTATGCGCTTGACGCGTGGCTTGCTCGACGTAAAATAGAGATCATCATCATTGGGCCCTTGTCGACGCAGGAATATCTGGAGCAACGGAGGATCTATAAGTTGCCCTCCACAATCCCATAGACTTTTACGTAACCAACTTAACTATCTGCCTAGACACCCAAGAAGCGGCTCTCTAACTCCTCTTCTTGACGCCTACCGCAACAAGCTCTTGTCAAATTGCAAAATTTCGGGAACTAGTAGCTAGCTGGACGAATAGGACACAGGCGTCCTGCACTAGCGCAGGATCAGTCAGTGTTAGATGGTGCCGCGGACATTCTGGAATCCTTGGAAACGAAGCAGATGATGCTCTAGCGAAATCGGCTTGTCTAGTGACTGCGCCACCCATACCTCTGTCCATAGCACGAGCAAAGAGAGAAATTTCTTGGTTGCACAACGCTTCCTCCACCGCTCTCTGGACTCAAGAGAGACTCTAAATTCAAGGCACCCGGGATTAGCCCTAGCCTAGGAATAACACCTGAACTGTATGGTCTAAGTCGACGTGCACTTGGGCCATAGGTTGCAGCTCGTTCCGGACAAGGAGATTTCACTCTATATCATCGTCGCCTCGCACACGAAGATGCCCTAATGACGTGCTCCTGTGGCCAAGAAAATAGCCCAGATCGCTTCTTCTATTGCGGTGTAGGAAGAAAGCGTGCCCGTTTTCGCCGTGGACTTGGACACCCCCACTTGGCATCTGATGGATACTCGGCACGCCTATAGTCGCCCTCGCCTTCGGAAAATTGGTCGAGCAGACGATGTTCAACGAGCCCACTGATGCCCCCCTGGGAAAGAAGGTATTTCGTGGACTAATATGGGATGGAAGGACTCACAACCTCTTCCATCGTAGCGTTATCACCATTCATTGCAAAGCCTGCGAGCGTTATCTCAAAATACTTGTAAACTAGATGTAAAGTTCCTGTTGGGGGAAATTTGATACATTTAAATTGAATGATCAGGGTGGCGGACAGCAGGTCATGCTCTTTAGTGTTTTCTGGGTGCTTTAGGGCGTGCTGGAGCGTCGGGTACTTCTATAGGGACTGAGCCGTCTGTCTCGGGACAATGATCATAAGCTGTGCACAGGCAAGACGTTTAATTTAATCAAGAATAATCCAGAGCTCCTGAATCAATATTTACAACTATAAGCCGTGAAAAAAAACACCAATTTACACGAAAAGCGGCACCACGTTCCACGGACGTGATTTCATCGTTTTTAATTGTTGCATTCATCTTCATAGATCCCTCTAACCTGATTCCCCGAATTTTTTTCGTTGCGCTCCGGCATGGCGAGTTGGGGAGCCGGAAAGGTGGATTATGCGGTTGGAAAAAATTTTCACGGCACCACAACAATCACGAACGAATAGCGGAACCGCCGCAATTACGGCTGTAGAGTTTCTCGCGACCTGAACAGGTGTCAACATGGATACACTAAAGACAGTGGGGCTTTTTCTAAACAAGATCAGAGACAGACTGGCTATAGCAGGCACTGAAAAATCTGCGACACCGATGGTCGAAATAGTTGAGGCACTTGACGCCTTTAAAGCCCACGCCAAGATGCTAAAATCGAGGCTGAAGGCTTCAAATATGAAAGATAGAATGCTGGCCTTAGAGAAGGCAGTAACCAAAAACCTTGAGGAGCCGTCGCGCATGACGGCTGCTCACGCAAGACTAGGAATGGGAGTGCGACCAACATACGCCTCGATCGTTGCACCGCCAGCAAACAAGGCGGCAGTACGCATAAGAATCCAAGGAGCAGATATGATGCAGCCTGCAGAGCTGTTGAACAAGGCAAAAATAAACATTGAGGGGGCATACGCAGTAAGGAAGCTGCGGAGTAATGATACGGAGGTGTTTGTTCAGTCGGTCTCCTAACGAGATGCGGCCTTGAGTATGGCGCAGCCAAAGGAGTTCTGCGTCCTAAAGCAGGATTACCCTGATGAAATTTTGGGAATCCCCTTGGGGACTCATATACGAGGAGGGAAAAACCCAGACAATGGCGCACTTATAAACCTGATGACGGTTGAAACAAAAGTTCGGATTCCCGACTAAAAATCAACAGGATGAGATGACTTTTCGACGGAAAGGAGCATCAATGAATGGGAAGAAACGGCCATACTCGAGAGTCAGTCATCGCGAGTTTGTCGACAGATTAACTTAAACGCGAAGTGATTAAACACGACATTGTTTACTTCTCAATGCTGTAAACGGCCCAGCTCTGCCCCCCCCCTAGACACAAATCAGGCAGTGCTTTAACTCTTGCCAATGGGGGCATACCCAAGCCTCTTGCAATGAGGCAAGGAGATGTGGAGGGTGTGCGTGCACCCATCAGACTAGGAACTGCTCGAAGAAAACGGTGCTTTACTGCAATTGTGGCAAGGCTCATATGTCGTGACAGAAGGGGGCATGTCAGAATTTCGCGGATTACAAGGCCAGCGTTCAACGGGCACGGTATGGACTCATGGAGAGAATGGCGGACTAAGAATGGAGAGCGAAATACAAACGGAGTTACCTCAATCAAGAACTGTAAACATACCAGACTACCATGGGTTAACGCTAGTATCCAACCAAAAGCCAGAAGGCGTCAAGAGAGGGCCGGGACGCCCGCGTATTCAAGTGCTGGTCCCAGCCCCAACACAACATCTATTTGCGCCATCAGGGTCGAACTCAAGACCGCAGTCATCACTTTTCGGCACGCGGGGGCAGGGAAGGGATGACGAGTTTCAATACAATTTTAGCTAGTCCTGTCTCGGACTCAAGGCCAATAGCACTTTCTGTAGGTAACGAAGAGCTACAGATATAAAAATTCAATAGGGGGAGTGGGTTTTTACAGCAAGGTTTCCTCATGTATATATATAGATAGGTTCATAGCCGCCCGCATGGGCCCATAGGGCGCCAAATCAGGTTAATGAAATCAAATTAAAACTATAAGCCGTGTCTCACGCATCTTTCTTGAGAAAACTCGATGTTAATTTTATTGGCACACAAGGCCCGTATCAGAAACGATTCTTGAATATCTGCCTAGTCTGAAATGTGTAGATATTACAGTCCATATTATTTGTCATAGCTAGTTAGCTGTACACAATATGAATTAAAAAACCAGTCCAAATTATGGATGTCTATGAAGCTGAAAGAGCCATGAGACACATACACAGACTTCTAGGATTTTATGTCTAGGTAGCTGCGTACATATTGAATAATTCAAAGAAAATAAATTGATATTAGAGCCATAGGAAGATTCTCTCTCCTACATTCTTTTCCGACTCGAATATTGATCAATTTACCCAGGCTCAGTAACAATGAGCCACCAAACGGGCCAGAACGAGGTTCCGACATTTCTTACGTTACAGGTTTCTCTAATTTTGACATTGCTGCTAGCGGTTTCACTGGACCTTCCTTCGCAGCAAGGATGAGATATCCCATGAGACAGTTCCTATTGAGATATTTTGCTTTGTAAGTCAAGGAAATAATCCATAAAGTTCGTGTGAATGGTGACTGATGTACCCAACAAACTCATTTCAGGTAGCTATTTTCCTCTGGTGAGTCTCTACATGGATAAAAGTTTGATGCTGACTCTTCTCCTTGCGCGAGAGTAGAATCAAACATAATGCTTATTACGTTTATTGATAATTATTTTCGATTGCGAACAAGGGCTTTTCTCGTGGAGGGACAATGACATGACGAGTTACCTCAAATTTCATATAGTATCCACATAATTTATCGCTATCAGTACCACTGCGGGATAGTAATAGTGTTACCTAATCATTTTTCGACATGTGATTTTGAGGATTATTGTACCTTCATGCTGCTTATGACTTATGGTATTCTCAAAGTATTTAACATCAAATGATGTGCTCAGAATGTTAATCTTAAAGGGCATGTACTGTTCAAGGACATTTTTGCCGCTTAATTGACATATTTGCCTTCCTAGGAAAAACTATAAAGGAAATAATGGCCCCTCAGTCATTGAGGTTGTAGAGCGCATTGATTCAAGTAACTACCGAAGTGAAACTAAGTACAGAATTTGCAATTACGTGTGTATCTACAACGAGGCCTACTTGACAGCCCCAATTATTCTAAATACTAACAAAAACACTATTTTTTGACTGTATTACAAAGTATTTCAGAACTACCCCTCTTGAAATTATTTATACACTAGATCGATCGGCACTTTTCCGCCGCATTTCAGCTTGAATTTCTCGTGCCTTTTGAACACCAAAGCCTTGCTCGAAGACTTCCCGTATGCTCTCCAGGGTCATACCCTTTACTTCGGGATAGCAGCAATATATTGCTACCCATCCAAGTATGCATACGACACCATAAAATGCGAAAGTACCCGTAGGAGTAGTTTTTTCCATCTGTGTAAGGAATGTTGAGGAGATGATGATATTAGGGCCCCAATTAGACAAAGTCATGACCATAGTACCGAGCGAACGTACTTCCATCGGGAAAAACTCTGATGAAACCCAGGAGAGAGCACCAATTCCCGAACCGTAGAATATCACTAAGCTAACCATAGCCACAAGAACAAGGTAGGCGGGCCAACCAACCTTGGTATCGGCTGAAATAGAGAGATCGGTAGTTAGAGGAATGTAGTAAAATGCAGCTGCAGCTACGCCTAGAGAAACGCCCTGTATACGTTAGATTGAATTAATTCTGGAAGTTACCTTGGGTATAATACTTACCATTCCCCAAACAGTAGAGAGCAGCACTTGTCGACGACCGAATCGATCGACAATGTTAAAGTATAAAAAGGTGCAAAGAAAGTTTACTGCAGCTATTATCGAGCCCACACCCACGGGGTTCGAAAATCCAATAACGGCAAAGAGAGTTGATGAATAGTACATGAGGTTATTAAAGCCGGAAAACTGCGAGAGACTCATGACGCCACAAGCAGCAATTGTGACCCTTAAGTTTGCGGGGACGGTGAAAAGTTGTTTAAATAGCCACCAATTACTCTTGCCGTCTCGCAGTTTTTTTGCCGTTTCAACATGAAGAGCTATATGTCGGACTTTTTGCTGAACTTGGTCACCGGTGGCATTTGGGAAGACCTTTTGAATGACCTCCGCAGCTTCGTCCAACTTTTTATGATAAATTAGTTGCCGAGGAGACTCAGGGCAGATAGGAAGTAAGCATAGGAGTAAGATAGCTGGACCAGCACCCATACCAACCATCCATCTCCAACCATGTGCAATATGAGCGAATCCAGCACCCAAGCCATAGGAGGCTAATTGACCACCTGTAACTGATAATGTATCAAGACCCATCATCCTTCCCCGAAATTTTGCAGGTGATATTTCGGCAATATATAACTAATTAAATCAGTTAAACTTCTTGCGAATTAGAGGATAAAGTGATTGACATACTGGAATTATCATAGCCGCGCTTCCAACCCCAAGACCGACAATAGCCCTTCCAACAGCCATGTGAGAAACAGTATATGCTGTGGCTTGAATTACCGCACCAACAATAAAAAGCACACATCCCATGTAGATAGGTCCTTTACGACCATACCTATCTGCTGTAAGTCCGGCAGCTATGGCACCGAGAAAAGCGCCACCAGACATAACGGACGTGACAAGCTCTTTTTCTCTATTTGCAAGTTCATGGCCGAGATCTGCATGGAGATATATAAGAACTGCAGATATAATGCCCGTATCGTAGCCTTTTGGTTTTAAAAGTTATTATGTGAATATATTTGGGGTGCAGATACACACCGAAGAGAAAACCACCCAGACTGGCTGTCAGGCTGACGAGCCACACAAATTTGTCGGAATCTGTTTCTTCAATTGTATCTATTTCTTCAAGCGTCCCTAAGTCTCCGGCCTTCATCTTGACAGGCGATGTCTTTTCATGGTGCTGGGCACTGAACTCGCCCGCAAGTTTGGCCGTAGAAACCATAGTAATGGCAAAGTTTTGTGGTATTAAATCCCACTTCTACTTCTAAGGGAGGCTTATCATCAAGATAGACTACCCGAAGAAAATACCAAGACCGATAGATTTGCATGTACGATAGTAGCAGGAGTGCGTGTGCGAATAGATCTCACAGGCCTATGTCGTAAGGGATTGGTTTCTTGATTCACTGCTGCGTACAAGGACTCACTAAGTTAGATTTGTTGAACGACAACTGCTTGGAAGGAATAGCCAAGCATTCGCTTGCCCAGATGGATGACTCCATAAGGTTACCGCCCGCAACTATGGTCGATCCATTATATATTACTTGGAGGTGATATATGGAGCCTCCGGTCGGACGTGTCGGGGAGACTTGGAGCGGTGAGAAGGTCTTGTGCAAAAGGTCATTCTTGATGTGTGAGATTGATATGCGAGACCGCTGTCGATTAGGTTGGACGGTCTCCATTGATTTAAATTATATTGAGAATTTCAATCATCCTCACGTCGATTCCGGAAATTCTACGTTGGTATTTTCAAGACATAAACCTAATGTAGGGCGTCTCATATTGATTTTTGGAGCACTCACTCTCAGGTTTCATTCGCAGATACCTCACGAGGTCAACTTTTACGGCTTTTCAACTTTCCCGCAAGCAGCAACCACCAGGAAAAGTCTAAATATTCTATGGTCAATCGAGTATGCTTCCTTCGCGCAATTACTACAATAGTACTGCGGAAAAATACGATGTGTAGGTCATACTGGATCCGATCCAGCATCACTTCACGGAAATGGTACATGCCTAAGCTGCCCAACATTCACTTATGAGCCAGCCCCAAAGGTATACCGCTGTACCATCCACCGCAAAATATTTGGGGGCCAAACTCAATACCTGTCGCTATCGAATCTACAGATCCGAGAGTGAATAACAAATTCTTCCTCACTTCGCAGAGGGTTCTCACTCGTTCTCGCAATCAGATGGTAGATTCTAAGCCCTAGTTATCACCCACTCTTGGTCATGTAGGAGAAGCAATCCAATGAGTTTCCGGAGCGTACCAAGCGCTCGATACGTCTATGGCGGATCTGATCGAGTTGAACTCTAATGTGACAAAGAAGAGGGATTTAGAGGGATATGGGCACCTCATGTAGTCCCAGTGTCTAGACCTCGCCAATCTCGGGCCGAAGGATTTTTCGGAATTTTCTCCGATAGCGATGGTTCTATTACTACCACTTTTTGGGTGTGAGGTTCCGTGGAAAAAAGCGGCCGAGTTCCATATACTAATCCAAAGGCTTTTTACACCGGACTTTAATTGCATATCCAGATATCTAGTTTTAACAAAATATCAGAGAAAGAGCTAATGATAGATGACTCATTTCAACAGTAAAGCACTAATTCCACGGATTTCATTTGCAAAGACCGCTAATCGATGTGTTTGCTTATCCTGGACGGTCGACTTTCCAAGACTGACTACCAAAAGAAATTTCTCTAAGACCCTGAGTTATCCAAGCATGCCTCAATCATACACTGAGTTTTCTCCGCGCAAAATGTGGTCCGAACCGTCTCCTTCCCAAGCGGAGTATGTGCCCTGGCTACCCAAACAATACCAGAAAACACCACCACGAGCCGAACCACGGCACTTCGTATCGTTGACTTATTTTTCAAGTGTCAAATGCACTTTTGCAATCGAAGTATTGGCGCGCACAATACTATTCAATATGTGATTCTCCTTGCCAGAATTCAGGATGAAGAATTCGCTAGTCTAACTAGCTAGACCTACAAATATGTCATTCTTAGTATACCGATTCAAATCATATCTCAACACCGTGGACAGGAATGACGTTATATTCAATCAAATCAAACTCCAATTAGTAACTATCATTCAAGAAGAGATTCATATCATTGGATCAGTGGTAAAATTCATCGATCTTCAGAAGTTTAGACCAATCAAGTATTTAATAACTTATATACACGCTGGCTGTCTGGATACTCGGTAACGGTACAAAGAACTGAAATTATATTTTACGTTTCTACGATTTTGTCGGTGAATCTTATTCCTCATCTCTAATCTTCTGAAAAAGACTATTATATATATAGCGTAGACTCCTTATGTAAAATCACCTGTTTACTTGGCTCCCATCAATCCGAAAGTGGCTAAGACTGTTCGTGATACGATAAGACAATGAGATAGGTCCTATTTAAAGAATAATGTGTTCACGCTTCATGGAGATAAATGGGTGAAAATCTATCTGCTGATTGAATTCATGTGCTTGCCCTCATACAAAATTTACATTTACTCATTCGCCATAGAATCACCTAAACTTGAACAATGTTAAACGATGATGACCAACGAATACCGTGTCACTAGGCCAAAGCATTTCCTGATAAAATAATTTATTCAGCTAAAATGTGTGTATTTCCCTCTATGTTTGTTCAGAAGTTGACCACAGCTCTAGTGGATTGTCTAAACCCAAGCTACTCCCGTTCCCCTTCCATCTTTCGACAACTTTAAACCAGTCGAGCCTATCCAATAATTTAAGTTGCCCCGCAAGTTCGTAAGCGTATTAAATTTAGCACTTTAGAATTAGCTTGTATTTTCCATATTCGTAATCAGATTTAGCACTGGCTATGACGAGCTTTTATGCTCTCCTTTGACATCGATGTCGATTATTAGATTCGTTTAAGCTTTTCCAGTCACGCCTGCATTAAAAACATCGGCTGATTTCTGTCCCTTCTCCTTTTCTAGACAATTGTTAGCTAAATATTTTGCGCCAAATTCCAGATTCGAGACTTACGAGCAGCTAATGAGGCCTTGTTGCAATTCTCAACAGTATCTGCGGAAGCCTTGCAACTATCCTGTAGCTTTTGGCAAATGAAGTCAGAGATGACTTTGATATTGAGAGCTGCACCATGATTGAAGTCTTTTTGGTTGGTGGCTTGGAAAGCGGGTTCCTGACGTCCTCCAAGGCCCACGCCGAATTCAACAGTGGGAGTACCGCAAGAGCCTAAGTCTCCACCGGCACCAGCATCAACGGCTTCAGCTTCGGCAGCTCCGGCATCTCCATCAGCTTTGGCATCTTTTCCTGATGCTTTGCCCTTATCTGAAGCTTTGTCGCCTTTTCCAGATGCCTTTGCGTCTGCAGCATCGCTGGCATCGGCGGTTTTCGCAGCATCGGCATTGCCCTCAGCTTTGTCGCCTTTTCCAGACGCCTTCTCGTCTGCAGCATCGCCAGCATCAGCAGCCTCTGCCTCTTCCTCAGCTTTGGCAGATTTACCTGATGCTTTTTTTTCACAAACTTCAGCAGATTCAGCATCTGCGGCATTGCTCTCGGTCTTGGCGTCTTTTCCTGATGCTTTGCCCTTGTCTGAAGCTTTTTCACCTTTTCCAGATGCCTTTGCGTCGGTAGCATCAGCGGCTTCAGCTTCGGAAGCTCCGTCGGTTTTGTCGTCTTTACCAGATGCTTTGCCCTTGTCTGATGCCTTGTCTTTGGTTGCACTTGCGCCTGCCTTGGCTCCTGTCATAGTTTAGAAACACTCTACCCTCCTTGTAGTTTCACAAAAGACTCACCCTTTGAATCTGCTGTACTGGCTGCACTGCTAGCACCCTTTGCACCGCCTCCTTTGACAGCGGCGTCAATTTCTTCCGGGGTAGCTTCAACTTGGATCAACTTCTTGGTGAAGATGCATCCTTTCTTGTCGTCAAGATCGTCACACGTGTTTCCTGCGCCAGTTGTATCGCCAAGCTATATGACTTGTTAGTTTATTTCATTAAAGATTGACGAAACATCATATTTACCTTTCCGGGCGCAAAAGTCGCTGATGTAGCTGCAAGCTGAGGATCAGCTCCAATACTTTCGAGCTGCACTGCTAGATCAAGAACTGTCTTCTTGTTGGCTGCTGCTGCTCCTTCCCCAGCCGGATCCTGATGTTGACTGATGGCATCAATCTCTGGGTTGACGGCTTTGTCGGTACAGGTGTTGCTAGCTTTACCTACTGCTCCGGTATTCTTTTCAAGAGCGGCAAAAATCAAAGCGTTAGCCATGCCGTCGACATTTCCTGCCTTTTTCTCGTTGGTGAAGGCCTGATCCGCAATTGCTCGCTGAAGACAATCCAAGTTTTTGATGTTACCTGCTCCTTTGGCAGCTGCTGTATCGCCAAGTAGTCCAAACACCGAGTCCTGAATCTTATCTGGATTGTCAAGTTTCAAACTAACCGCGACTTGATCAAGTACTGCTTGATGAGAATGCTCCTGGGGAACCTCTCGCTTCTGATACGGCACAGCCGATGTTAGGCCAAAGTAGGCAAGGAGAATGGTTGCTGTAGAGTATTTCATGTTGTTTATAGAATAATCTTGATATTTAAGTTTATAAAGAGAGATGTAGAGTGAGAAAATCGAAGAAAAATGATATGCCTAGTCCGGCTAGTAATGAATAGCGAAGGAGGTAAAAAAAGATGGATGAACAAAGAGTAAAAAGAAAGATTGTTGATTGAACTGAAGATTTCCCTGGAGACAATAGGCATATCTTATAGTTGTGAGCAATTTACTTTTCAGGCCTACCAGCCCATCTCGTCGAAATCTTGTCCCTTACGCATCCCTCATGTGTCCCTCAAACGTCCCACATCGAAACGATTCATTCCCACGTATCCTAGCATCGATTCAAAAAGTCGCAATACCATTCATGACCGTGCAATAGATATTGTTGTATTATCGAAATCTGGCATGAAGTTTCCATTTCCTGACTCGAGGTTGTTCTTGGATCCACTTGTTTCGTGTTTATGGACTCGTGGTGACCCGGGAGCTAGCCTTGAACCATAAATCTCGATGTTCGAGGCCTCTGCTGGCAAGGTAATTCGTGAAGTAGAAGGGGAAACATCGGATAATATGGGACAATATGGGACAATATGGGACAAGATGTAAAACACTAGCGATATTTATTGACTTGACATGGTCTGTGACGCTACGGAGCCGATTATTCGTGGAGCCCGAAGACCCAGCTTGGCTCGACAAGGGTATCGATGGCTGTCACCTTAGGCGAAAAACGTTAACCGTTAAAATACAGGGTTATGAATATATACTGCAGGCATGCATGAATTAGGAAAGCCCAAGTTATCGCTTGGCGTTTGTGCGAGTGTCGGGATCTAAAATTTAGAGGGTAGCCAAGTAGTGTCGAAGCAACAGTCGCGGGAAGGGAATACCAAGTGTCCTTGAAACAACGTTGCTCCTTCCACAATAGGTGTGAGTATGAAATAATATGTCACTGCAAATTTGCTGGAGAAGTGCTCTGGTTATCAGGCACCAGTTTTAAGAAAACCAAGAGTAATCTGCGAGTGAGCTGTGCACTCAAATGCTAGCTCCGAAATATGTACATGACTTTCGTTCCAAGAGCTAAATAGGTGTAAAGAATAACAGCGGTCCTAGGGGAGGCTCTTAACATAATTTTGGAAGCGGTAATAAATAGCGCGGATGCACAACTGGCGCAGATAATATATGAATGACAAAAGCCATCGAATATAACTAAAACCATCGAATATAACTAAAACCGAGTGCGCTATCGATTTTATGTCCTCGAGTGAAAATCTAAGGAATGGAGAGAGAGCAGAATTCATGCTTCTATGAGAAAAGATTTCGGTATCCTGAACAGAACCAGGCATCGTAGCCAGCACTGTAAATGACCTACGAGGAAAAGAAATCCACCGAAAGTGAGGGTATGAATTCTAGCTGTTCTACGCTTATTCATGTTATGTGGTTGGTATGTGCTGCTTGCACCATTTTTAATTCTTTAGCTATTGCCCTCTCTCGTTAGGACCAAGTAGGGCACGAGGGTAATCCCTCTTTTTTGTTTTGCTTCAGATTTTAATTGCGTAGGCAGCTACCTAGCTGTCTAGCTATCACACAATATCAAAGAGAAGTACAGAAAAGATGACTCAATTTACAAGAAGAGCACTCATGCCTCAGATTTCATTTGCAAGTACCACTGCGAAGTTATGGCGGCTTTTTCTTCACCCCAAGTCAACACTCATCCGTGAATACCCACCTAGGGGAACTTCCCAGAAACCCTGAGTTATCCAGACATGCCTCCATCATCTTTCAACTTTTCTCCGCGCGAAATGTGATCTGAGGCGTCTCCTTCCAAAGTGAAGTAGGTGCCCAGGCTACTCAGACTATACCGGAGAGCACCACCAGGAGGCAGATCACAACACCTCCCATCGTTTGCTTGTGTTTATAGTGTCAGCTGCACTCTCGCAAGCGAAGTCTTGGCGCGCACAAAGCCCAATTCGTAAAACTCCTTGCCAAAATTCGGAATCTCATGCCCTTCGAAGTTATATCCTTCCTCCGCATCATCTTGTCGAATTATCCTGATTCCTCTCTCGTCCATCCCAAAGGACTGTCTCCCAGATTTGTGTGCCACGCTTTGCTTCCTCCTGCGGGTGTAAATATCGGGATGGGCGTGTATATGGTGGTCAACTGAGACCAGAGAATAGCGAGGAGTGGTGTGATCATTGGAATGAGGATGTACTAGATCATACTCGCAGAATTGATGAGACTTAGGTAGAAGTGAAACTCGATAGGTGCGAAAAAACGACGTGGAGTAATATGAATTTTTGCCTAGCGGGCCAACTTCTTTGATATTGCGGAATTTGACTGAACTTTGCTTTGGGGGAATATTTTACTCCCAGGTTTCTAGAGGCCACTGTGAAGAGATGTTTGGTCTTGTCCCCTGATTTGTGACTCAAGAGTAATGAATCAGATAGGTATTCTTCCGCTAAGTCGTCCGAGATTCTGCGAATAAAACTTGCCTCTAAAGTTTAAAACATTAGTCAATATCACTCTGCATATGCGATCAATTCATGTATCTGAGAAAACTCACTTCCCTTTTTAATCCTGATCTCTTGCCTCAGAGACTGTATTGACCTTGAAATGTATTCACTTATTTGTATCAATTGGCTAAGAAAAAGCTTATTAGCAAATTGCTGGTTTGGTGATGACGTCAAAGCTATTTATGAGCTTTCCCGTCTCATAGACCTCACTGATGAGAAGCAAAATATGTCTGATAAAAGATAGTTACCCAAATATGATCTTCATTATGATGATGATGAGTGGTGTGTTTCTTGTAAAACTTGAGTCATCAACTGTCTAGCACAGGGCTCCTCTCCTCTTCTGTTTCTTGAAAGATCATTGATATATTACCCTTCGTGAATAGCCATTCAGCTCAGTATTTACCCGTGGAATCTGGCAATCTTTTCCACAGAACCTTCGAACCAAAAAATAAAATAAAAATAGTGGCAATGGAAAATGCGTGCGCGGGAAAAAGTCTCAAAAAACCAGCAGCCCCAGCCAGGCGAGGCCTAGATACCGGGACCACATGAGGTGCGCATATTTATCTATATTCCCCTTCTTTGTAACATACGAGACCGACTTGGTCCAATCCACTATCACCGTATTGGGTGCTGGGTATGCTCCGGAAACTCATCGGATGGCTTTTCCTCTATGATCAAGGGTTGGTGATGAGAAGGGCTTCGACCCCACCATCTAGTCTGATTGTGGTTGGCTTCATGATAGTGGTGATAGGGGGATGAGTTGAGAAATAAAGATGATACAGACGATGAAAGCGATGGGGAATTCTCACTGAAGTGAAGACGATGTTATTCAATTTTGGCTCTGCAGACTCTACAGTGAGAGCCGGGGATTCATAGGGGATACCACTGACAGGTGTTGAGAATAGTTCCTCTTTGGTCTTCATGACCAGTCAGAAACTCGTAATTAGGAATTTGCGAGACAGAAGTCTGAATAGAGGGGTTAGAGTTGATGGCTCTATGACGTAACTAAGCAAAAATAGCCATCGTTTCGGGTGAATTTGAACTCCTAGTGTGACTTCTCACTATGCATGTAGATTTTCAGTTTTCACGCATTGATTCGTGCAGCGCATGTAACATGGCGAGCCTGAAACAGTGTCTCAAGTACAGCAGGCAGGCACATCGAAGCGCCAGGCCTTGGATATGCGTCATATAGAGGCGGACGAAGTAGCCCTTCGTTAGATCTCATCCGCACGGTGGAGAAACTTGTATTCTAGATCAAATTGTAGTGTCTGAGTCCATTTATCCTTACAAACTTCATGGGCCGACAAATGCAACACATGGGCTTCGTAGGGCTGTCATAATTCAAAAAATCCATGCGAACACAGGAGCAACCAAGATCAAAGTGATGTATCAGCTGTCCAACTGATTCTGGTTTCAAGGCTTCAAGCGACAGCCCTGCTACCCCACTATTCTTACTTGGTAAGAATTAGTCATCACGCAAGAGACAGTTCTAGCCTACTCGATAACTGGTGAGGCACTACTCACCGGCGAAGCTTAATTACGGTTTTAAACAAGTAAAATTCACCCGTGAGCTTGCGAATTACGATTCAGAGCAAAAGTCGCCCTACGTTCAGAAAATACATTTACAACATACCTTTAATTCTGATAGTGTGTATGTGAGAAAACTAAACACTCTTTAAATAATATCTTTCAAGAAAGTGGTGCACTATTTTTTGTATTTCAGGTATCTCAGACGAGGCGTACAATTTTTCCGTGTGGTTGCTGCCCGTCTATTACTCGGCGATAATTATAATTACTTAAATTTACAAATTTAGTGCTCTAAATCCGTGTTACATCCGCAGCGTTGACAGGTGTTTCAAGAGTTTGTTAACATCATAAAATCTCTAAAATCATACAGTCATCAAAACAAGGCGGTAATAGCATATCGACTAGTCATGTCGTAAAGACTACCTTACAAGTCTTACACTTTTAAGTGAAATAACCATACGACCAGAAATTGATACATGGACAGGCCAATTATGACTCGAATCAATATTGTAGCCGTTACATGTTTAGGTAAAGTAGAGGTGCAACAAATGATAGTTGTCCATATAATCCTTTCTGTAGCTATAAGAATTACTCAGTGCCCATTCAGGAATGAAAAAAAATACAAACAATTCTCCATTCCTTTTCTAAGTCTATTAACCTGTCCAACTGACTTCATACTCTCATTACATATTACTGGCAGGTCTAGACATATAATACTATTCTTTAGGTTTCATTCTCTTCATACAACTCTATATCACCTACGAACACAAAAAAGTCATGAAATGTTCTACTACCTCAATACTTGTCGCTTTTGTCGGCTTCACTTCGGCTGTGCCGTTTGAAAAGCGAGAAGTTCCCCAGGAGCATTCTCACCAGCAAGTTGTCGATAAGGTCGGTGTAAGTCTAAGGATCGACAACCCTAAAAATATACAAGATCCGATATTTGGACTCCTCGGCGATGCTGCTGCCGTGAAAGGCGCAGGTGATGTTACAAATTTAGACTGTCTCCAACGATCAATTGCAGACCAAGCCTTCACCAATGAGAAAAAGGCTGGAAATATCGACGGTATGGCTAATGCTTTGATCTTCGCCGCTCTTGAAAAGAATACCGGCGCTGTCGGTAGGGCCAGCAATACCTGCACAGAGAAGGCAGTTAACCCAGAGATTGATGCCATCAGTCAACATCAGGATCCGGCTGGGGCTGGAGCTGCAGCGGCCAACAAGAAGACAGTTCTTGGTCTAGCAGTGCAGCTCGAAAGTATTGGAGCTGATCCTCAGCTTGCAGCTACGTCAGCGACGTTTGCACCCGGAAAGGTAAACCCTTTCTTTATGTATCATTCATGAGACTAATAACTTTTCAAGGCTGACGATCAGTCTGGCGCGGGAAACACTTGTGACGACCTGGACGACAAGAAAGGTTGCATCTTTACTAAGAAATTAATACAAGTTGAAGCCACTCCCGAAGAAATAGACGCAGCAGTTCAGGGTGGTGGTAGTGGTGCTAGTAGCATTAGCAGTTCATCTGTCGAAGAAAGTGAGTAAAGCAAGTATGATTAGGGAGATCAAAATCTAATTTTAAAAAGAAGCTGGGAAGGCTGGTGCTGCCAAAGTTAAGGCCGGAGAAGAACTCGAAGAAGGTGCTGATGCCGCCGACGCAAAAGAGGAAGCTAACGGTGGAAAAGTAGCCGGAAAAGCAAATGCCGCTGGTGAAAAAGAAGCTGGAAAAGCAAATGCTGCTGGTGAAAAAGAAGCTGGAAAGGCTGGTGCTGCCAAAGTTAAGGCCGGAGAAGAACTCGAAGAAGGTGCTGATGCCGCCGACGCAAAAAAGGAAGCTAAGGGTGGAAAAGAAGCCGGAAAAGCAAACGCGGCTGGTGAAAAAGAAGCTGGAAAAGCAGATGCTGCTGGTGAAAAAGAAGCTGGGAAGGCTGATGCTGCCAAGGCTAATGATCACAAGAAGTCCGGAGCTGAAGCTAACGCGGCTGATGAAAATGAAGCCGGAAAAGCAAATGCTGCTGGTGAAAAAGAACCTGGGAAGGCTGATGCTGCCAAGGCTAATGATCACAAGAAGTCTGGAGCTGAAGCTAACGCGGCTGATGAAAATGAAGCCGGAAAAGCAAATGCTGCTGGTGAAAAAGAAGCTGGAAAAGCAAATGCTGCTGGTGAAAAAGAAGCTGGAAAGGCTGGTGCTGCCAAAGTTAAGGCCGGAGAAGAACTCGAAGAAGGTGCTGATGCCGCCGACGCAAAAAAGGAAGCTAAGGGTGGAAAAGAAGCTGGAAAAGCAAATGCCGCTGGTGAAAAAGAAGCTGGAAAAGCAGATGCTGCTGGTGAAAAAGAAGCTGGAAAAGCAGATGCTGCTGGTGAAAAAGAACCTGGGAAGGCTGATGCTGCCAAGGCTAATGATCACAAGAAGTCCGGAGCTGAAGCTAACGCGGCTGATGAAAATGAAGCCGGAAAAGCAAATGCTGCTGGTGAAAAAGAAGCTGGAAAAGCTGGTGCTGCCAAAGTTAAGGCCGGAGAAGAACTCGAAGAAGGTGCTGATGCCGCCGACGCAAAAGAGGAAGCTAACGGTGGAAAAGTAGCCGGAAAAGCAAATGCCGCTGGTGAAAAAGAAGCTGGAAAAGCAAATGCTGCTGGTGAAAAAGAAGCTGGAAAGGCTGGTGCTGCCAAAGTTAAGGCCGGAGAAGAACTCGAAGAAGGTGCTGATGCCGCTGACGCAAAAGAGGAAGCTAACGGTGGAAAAGAAGCCGGAAAAGCAAATGCCGCTGGTGAAAAAGAAGCTGGAAAAGCAAATGCTGCTGGTGAAAAAGAAGCTGGAAAGGCTGGTGCTGCCAAAGTTAAGGCCGGAGAAGAACTCGAAGAAGGTGCTGATGCCGCTGACGCAAAAGAGGAAGCTAAGAGTGGAAAAGAAGCCGGAAAAGCAAACGCGGCTGGTGAAAAAGAAGCTGGAAAAGCAGATGCTGCTGGTGAAAAAGAAGCTGGAAAAGCAAATGCTGCTGGTGAAAAAGAAGCTGGAAAGGCTGGTGCTGCCAAAGTTAAGGCCGGAGAAGAACTCGAAGAAGGTGCTGATGCCGCTGACGCAAAAGAGGAAGCTAAGAGTGGAAAAGAAGCCGGAAAAGCAAACGCGGCTGGTGAAAAAGAAGCTGGAAAAGCAGATGCTGCTGGTGAAAAAGAAGCTGGAAAAGCAGATGCTGCTGGTGAAAAAGAAGCTGGGAAGGCTGATGCTGCCAAGGCTAATGATCACAAGAAGTCCGGAGCTGAAGCTAACGCGGCTGATGAAAATGAAGCCGGAAAAGCAAATGCTGCTGGTGAAAAAGAAGCTGGAAAAGCTGGTGCTGCCAAAGTTAAGGCCGGAGAAGAACTCGAAGAAGGTGCTGATGCCGCCGACGCAAAAGAGGAAGCTAAGAGTGGAAAAGAAGCCGGAAAAGCAAATGCAGCTGGTGAAAAAGAAGCTGGAAAAGCAGATGCTGCTGGTGAAAAAGAAGCTGGAAAAGCAGATGCTGCTGGTGAAAAAGAAGCTGGAAAAGCAGATGCTGCTGGTGAAAAAGAAGCTGGAAAAGCAAATACTGCTGGTGAAAAAGAAGCTGGAAAAGCAAATGCTGCTGGTGAAAAAGAAGCTGGAAAAGCTGGTGCTGCCAAAGTTAAGGCCGGAGAAGAACTCGAAGAAGGTGCTGATGCCGCCGACGCAAAAGAGGAAGCTAACGGTGGAAAAGAAGCCGGAAAAGCAAATGCCGCTGATGAAAAAGAAGCTGGAAAGGCTGGTGCTGCCAAGGTTAAGGCCGGAGAAGAACTTGAAGAAGGTGCTGGGAAGGGCAATAAGGGAGTAGGAAAAGGTGGGCCCAAGGGAGGACCTGAAGGTCTTGATGCAGCCGGCGAAGAAGAAGAAGCTGGGAAAGGCAAAAAGGGAGCAGGTAAAGGTGGGCCCAAGGGAGGACCTGAAGGTCTTGATGCTGCCGGCGAAGAAGAAGAAGCTGGGAAAGGCAAAAAGGGAGCAGGTAAAGGTGGGCCCAAGGGAGGACCTGAAGGTCTTGATGCAGCCGGCGAAGAAGAAGAAGCTGGGAAAGGCAAAAAGGGAGCAGGTAAAGGTGGGCCCAAGGGAGGACCTGAAGGTCTTGATGCTGCCGGCGAAGAAGAAGAAGCTGGGAAAGGCAAAAAGGGAGCAGGTAAAGGTGGGCCCAAGGGAGGACCTGAAGGTCTTGATGCTGCCGGCGAAGAAGGAGAAGCTGGGAAAGGCAAAAAGGGAGCAGGTAAAGGTGGGCCCAAGGGAGGACCTGAAGGTCTTGATGCTGCCGGCGAAGAAGAAGAAGCTGGGAAAGGCAAAAAGGGAGCTGGAAGGGCTAGTGCCGTCAAGGAACTGGGCGAAGAAGCCTGAGATAATTCTAGTAGCGATGAAATTGGAGATTTTGCAAAATCGACATTTGTCTTCAAACTGTGTCATGATTTAGAGTAACCATCCCGATACAGAATTAACTTTCAACCTTTGATGGCCTTGTTGGAGGCTCTAAATCTAAATTTGACTTAACCTTCAAATTTGCCGTTATTGCCAGAGTTGTAAAGATAATATGAAGTAAACCCATATGGATGGATTTTACCATAACCTAGGAAGGTTATATTGTGATTATGAGCTTACGGTAGTCAAGGGGCTGAGGCCTCCGTTTAGCATTACGCCCAGGATGTGGCAACCTTATGGTCTGATCGTCGTAAATTGAAGACTATGTTAATCTAATGAGGAGAAGAATTTTCCCATGTACAATATTGAGGTGTCTCTGCACTGAATATTACCCAACACAGCTACCTTTCTAATCTAATGCAATGCCCATAGACCACACATTACAACAGGTCAGTCTTGCTTTCATGAGAACGAGCCGGAAAAAAGTTTGAGATACACAACTCAATACATGTAATTCGATTATGCTGAGTAAAAATTATCACAAACTTTCTAAATCACTATAAAAGCTAGAAACTGGTCAAGTTGTTGTCCGAGCCTGGTATTAACTCTAACTTCTTATCTTGTTAAACGTCCTATTCGGCGTCGATTTACAGAACCATAGAGAAATTAGGCAATATTAAGAAGGTAAAAAGCTTTCAATCCACAAAACCCATATTTGCACCACGATTGCACATTCCAGCTTCATGCCGAGGATATACTTTTATTCTAGTAATTTTAGTTTCAGCGCAAATGTATCTCCTCTAACGCCATAGATTCTTCACAGGCGAAGCACAAGAGAATCTTTCACCATCCTTTTCTATCCTTCTCGTTATTTGGGTGGATGAAGCTGCCGGCGTCATAGATGTCAACGTGTTTGGTACGGCCGTTGAATCAGCAGTTACTTTGCGTGGCCGCCTCTTTGGTGAGTCAACCTTTTTTGCTGACGACTAGAGTGAATCCCTGATCGTCTGTTGTTGTTGACACCTTTGTTGTCGCAGTTGTCAGGATAGTCTCTCTTCGAATCTCTACCGTTTGCTTCGAGAGCTCAAAGCGGGCTCTTTGAACACTTCCCCTATAGACCTAAAAGGTCGAACATACTGCTCTCTTCCACGAACGGTTATCCTTGTCGCAATTTGCGGAACATTCCCTTTTACTTGGGCAATCCTGAGTCTGGTGAGCACCAACGCACTCGCTACATCGGGCTGCCTTACCACACGACGCCTGCGTATCCTCCTTGACTGCAATTGCAACACTGCTTTGGCTGGGCCCTTGGGAACCACACCTGTGCCGAGTAGAGTATAGCATTGAGGAAAAAACCGTATCTGACCACCTGTTCTTGTGAGGCCTCTGTGGGGAGACTTTATGATAGACCCTCTTGAATGGCCATTTTTCATTGCCCGCTCGACTTCCTTTCCATCAAGCATCCATCTTATTTTATTTATAGTTAGTCCTGAAATCCGGACTCTTGTAGACGCCTAAATCTCCCTGATCAAAGTCGAGTCGTTGGCCAATTTTCCTCCTTGTATCTTCGTCCTCAACGGGACTCTGAAAATCTCCACGGGAAAGTCTTGCCGTAACACCCGAAAGTCCTGTTTTTCCATCAAGTTGAGAGTCGTATCTCTTTGACCCACCGATTGGATAAACACTTCGGTGTCGTTACTCCGCATGTGGCGTACTGCGTATGTGTAAGAGCCCTGCACCATAGTATTGAGTACTGATGAAATGACATAGCAATTAGTCATTATTGTGTAGAGCTGCTCTACATGAAATGTACGGGCCAGGTGTAAATTATGCACTGTTATAAATCTGTAGATGCTTTCTTCCCATCTTTTTCTGAGCTTAGGATCTTATATATTACAATCCTGATCTAAGTCTCTACTTGATTCGAAATTGTCATCGCTTAGCTCGTGCTCTTTCCGGACACTCACAGTATGCCCCTGGTATATGTTTCTGTGCCATTGTGAGCAGCTCTGTTGCCTGCATTTTTTCTGCGCCATCGATGCGTATTCTAAGCGCTGTTTTGGCCATTAGCAGCGCAAAGACTCGTCTTTGCGAGGCTCTTCTTGACTACTTCTTCAAAAGCCAGCATCCTTTATTCGAGGGGAGATGTCATCGTCTGAATCTCCTTCCATTCCATGCTATGTATGCTGAGGGCCTTTGCTGCCTCCGTGGTGACTCCATCATCGTCTTCATCTTAGTAGAGAATTCTAGGCTTCTTTATTAGATACCGTAATTTGTCCATGATTCTATCGATAGGAGCTTTATAGTCTCCACTGCCTTGGTTTTCTTGGCCATTGTCATATTTGGTGACGCGTTGGGGCGGCCGGAATAAACCACATCAGCTCCCACCTCCGCCATGTTGTCGCACGGTAGGTGTTCAGTTGCGAATGAGGTAAATAAAGGGTAAAAATTCTAATTACGTAGTTAAATTGATGGCAGAAGCAGCGTAGAGTGCTGCGCAGAGTGCTGCGCAGCTTTTCATGGAAATTAAAGTCTATTTTCAACATTGGCAACATTATTTCCAAAGTTCTAATTTACTTGTTATTTGAATTCATTTTTCTCAATCTGGCACCTTATGGACTCATGACGATGAATATCTATAATCATCCTAGAAAATTTTACTTCCGTTTTATTTATTTAGTTTTACATCCTAGGCCGAAACCTATTGTTTTTAGATGTAATATCAGTGGATGAATATTAGGCTTTCACTCGTGACGATGACAAGCCCTGCACTCAAAAAGCATGACACGGAGAAGACTAGCATCTCCAAAGACTATATACGACAATAACTCAGTTTGACATTTGGAATACTCATGTAGTGAGGGGGACTATTTTCAACACCTCTCAGTGGTGTCCCCTACAAACCTTCTGCTCTCACTGAAGAGTCTGCAGAGCCGAGATTGAGTAACGAAGTCCTCACTTCAACGAGGATCCCCAATCGCTTTCGCGGTCTGTATTGTCTTCATCTCTCAACACATTCCCCTATCACCATTATCATGAAGCCAACCACGATCAGATCAGATGGTAGGGTCGGATCTCTACTCATCACCAAACCTTGATCACGGAGGAAAAGCCATCCGATGAGTTTCCGGAGCGTACCCAGCACCCGATACGGAGATGGCGGATTGGACCAAGTCGGCCTCGACTGTTACAAGGAAGGGAGATGTAGATTAATATGCGCATATCATGTGGTCTCGGTGTCTAGGCCTCGCCTGGCTGTGGCTGCAGGTGTTTTGAGACTTTTTCCCGCGCACGTAGTTTCCATTGCTACCATTTTTTTGCATAAGATTTTAATTGCGTATGCAGCTATCTAGCTATGACACAATATCAAAGAAAATTACAGAAAGGATGATTCAATTTACAAGAAGAACAATCATGCCTCAGATTTCATTTGCAAGTACCATTGCGAAGATATGGTGGCTTTTTCTTCACCCCAAGTCACCCCTCATCCGTGAATAGCCACTCAGGGGAACTTCCCAGAAACCCTGAGTTATCCAGACATGCCTCCATCATCTTTCAACTTTTCTCCGCGTGAAACATGGTCTTTGGTGCCTCCTTCCTAAGAGGAGTAGGTGTCCAGACTACTTAAACTATACCGGATGTCACGGTTCGAGGTATAGATGCTGGGGCGATCAAATATACGAAGGTTGTTTATTATTTTCTCTATGGCTATCCATGTACGTCCAACTTCAACTATTTATTCGCTTACTATTCTATCTAGAATATTCTTGACTAATACCAGTTTCTAGTATTTTCCCCTGAGGCTGGTTCGCAGTCTTACTACTAGTTGCTAGAAATTTCTAGTGATGTCCAGATTAATCTATGATAGAATAGTGGTTTCGTAAAGTTGTGAAGCACGTGATTAACATCATGTGCCACAGGGTAATTACCGGCTCACTAGCCGTTACACCGGAGAACACCACCATGTTGAAGTTCACACTAGTATGCGGAAAGCCCTACTTTCATGTACATAGAGGGACTTCTTGCCACACAAATTAATTACAGCAATCTAATCACGATTAATTATCGATTAAATATCAGTAAACTTATTCGTATAGTAAACACATTTATGATATCTCTAAATCAACTTCAAGAATGGTATGTTGTCACGGCTTGAGTGTCGATGCTAGAGCAATCAGATATACAAAGGTAGTTTATAATTTTCTCTATGGCTAACTATCAGAGTATTACTTCAACTATTTATACATTTATGAAGATCTCTAGAATACTCGTTCTTGGCTGATACCTGCTTCTCGTATATTCTAGTCATAGTAGTTTCCAGTCAACCAATTACTAGAATATTCCAGTTACAGCTGAACTGATCTAGAATAAAGCTAGACTGCTGAAGAATTATAAAAGCACGTGAATACAATCTCCTGCCACAAAACAATCGGCTCACAAGCCGTTCCATGTGTGACTCTTCCAATCTCCAGAACTACTTGAATTGCCTCCACAATCAAGACTGCCTTTTGATGCAGTCTATTCTGTGCCACCGTAACCTAGGTGACTTTTAAATGCTGCACTGGAACGGCGAGAGCTGACATGCTCCTGGCGTCCAGAGCTTTTGTAAGAGTGTTCGCAGGGCGAAGAAGAAGGCCGGGTGGCGTAGTGGCCGGGCCCAAGACCATGTATTGCGCTATGGCCGCGAGGAGGTAGACTCTCGTGGAGTCTACGAATTTTCTATTCGGCCCACTGATTATAGAGAGGAGTGTTGCTTCAGCGCCTAGAACGTCGGCGGAGTAGATTGCCATATTTGCCACGGTTGAGACGGCGTGTCGTCCTTCGGCCTCATGAATCAGTTGAAGCTCAGACGGACATTCTGCTTTTGTTGCAGCTTTAGACTGCGACGATTTCATGAGAGCTACTTTTGATGCAGCTGTCTCTGAAGGTTTTGGCTCGGTCGAAGAGGAATTTGATGGCCCTCCAATTCCGTGAGGGGATGG